CCCGTCGTGAAAGTTATTTCTGTGTGTCCGGTGTGTTTTATGCCCTCTTGGCCTAAGGTCTTGCATGGTTTAACTTTAATGGCTGTAGTGGGACTCGATCAGAACAGCTGCGTTCACACGTAGCATTTCAAAGCTGCATTTAAAGCTTTGAATTGAATTCAGTTTAGTAATGAGCCGTTTTAGAACAATTTTAGAGCAGTTAGTGGGTGTCTGCACAAGTTACAAGTTTTTAAACAGCTTTAGAAGAACAGTCGCTATTTAAATCCTTGTAAGTAATGGTAGAATCGTTTAAGATCGTTGCTTAAAAATATTTTTATATTAACATGACCAGATAAGTCAGCCTACCTTTCCCCGCCCGCGAGGTCTGAGTGACACAAGTCTTAGTAATGTTGATAATACTGTGAAACGTTGCAAGTGACTGACTGAAGTATGGAATCAGCAAAGGAAGGTATGGAGATGAGGGAGGAAACAGCTGAGATAATTGAAGGACCATTAAATCTGAGTTTAATGTGGAGTTAATATTGCTTCTGTGAAAATGTTAGGTGGTTATCAGACGAGTTTATGCAAATGTTAACTTCATGAATGAACATGGCTGGTATTCCAGTGAAAGGTTCCCCGTGCTCATCTATTTGGAGACCAGTATTTCAATCTTCCAGTCTCTGACTCAGGAAGGAAACAGGTGTAGAGCAGTAGTAGGAAGAAATAAAATCACCAGATTTAAGAAGAGCAGTTTTTCCTCTTGCGTTCTTGTTTCAACTGTAAGAACAACTTCTTGAAATTTTGTGTTTAGAACAGAAAAGCTTCAGGTAATACTTCCCTCTTTTTTTTTTTTTTTTTTTTTTTTTTTTTTTCTTTTTTACAGCTATTTGTAGGGAAGTGCAGCTTCTGCGTTTTATATTCATCTGGTTTGTAGTTTTAATCCTATCTGACACAGAAGTTTCCATTGCAGATATACTAGGACTTAAAGCAAAAATATTCAGTGAACAGATGGCATTTAAAAAAAAAATCTGGTTACTTCTGCAGATGTCTCAGAAATAAGAGGAGTAGAATGCAGATGTGATATACAACAATTCAAGTAGAAGTGCACACTTTCTGAATTGTAAGGAAAAATAGTTTACTTTGAGAACATTTTACAGGGTATGGTCACCTTGTCTCACAGATGTGACTGCTTTCTATGTGGTGTTACTGCCTCTTGACATTCCTGTTTTAAATTAGGAAGTTAAGCCACTACTAATCTTCACTAGCATTTTCATGAAATATCAAAAATATTCCAAGACCTGTGGGATACTTATTTTTAATACTGTGAAAAATACTGTGGTTGGATCTGAGTTTCTTCAGGTGCATGGGGGTATCAGATAATGTTTTTTTTTTAGTGAACAAAAACTGTTGGGTTGAGTTAAAATTGCTTTTTTTTTTTTTAATTTCAGTGTTACAAGATATTTGAAATTAGTTGTGGAGCTGCCGAACTGACTTTGTTGCGAAGTGTACTTCAGGGTGTGCTTTGTTCATTTGTCTGTATGAACAGATTGGAAAAGAGCTGACTGTGTTCAGTAGAGCTAAAACATAAAGCACCTCTCTTCAGTAAAGTGCTGGCTGCTCTTACATGGATACAGCTTTTTCTTACGGCTTTGTAAAAACACAACCATGGGATGACTGTTGCTATAACTTATACAGGGAAAGGTCATAGTTACTGAATTTTGCAGTTGGCGAGGTACAGTGTATACCAGGAAGTTTGGGATTTTTAAGTTTTAAGTTAATTTATTTGTAGAGGCAGGAGTGGTTTAGATTTTTTTTCTGCTAGCGCAGCAATGTAAGTAGACTTTTTATTGTCACTTATGTGGTGACCAGGATACCAACTACATCTTATGTGGCTTTTGTTTCAGTAAGAGTAATTGAAGTGCATGTTCTCTTTACTTGTCAGATTTGATGAAAAGCAGTGAAGTTGGCAGAAACGTGGTCCTGCTTAGAATACTTCATGAATGCCAGGATGTTGTTTAACTTGTATTCTGTAAGTTAATATGTTCCTGTGAAAATGTGCCAAACTTTAATGAGTTACTGTATGGTCAGAAGATAAATTTACGTTTTTGGGAGTGGATTTAGGTAGAGATTGATAGTGGCTAAGTATTCACCACCCCATATGTGCATGTGCAAACACTGTGCAGACCTAAAAATTCGAGGTTAGACAAGGCGATTAGCATGACAGTAAGTGGGAAGGGAAGCATATTGGTTAAATTAATCATACATATTAGTGATCAGGCTGTATCACTCCAAACTGGAATTTCTTGATTAAAGTGTGCTTAACTATCTAAGTTTCTGCCTTCTCTAGCTGGCTTTCAGAAGTGTCAGAAGAATTTTAACACATTATGTTTCTTAGACCTTTCTGTAATTAAACAGCAAAAAGACTTTGCCAAGTGTTGGTGTATGTAGTTCCATAAAATGACTAATCTGAAATAGTTGTGCTTCCAAGGTCCGGCTTAGCAAAAATATTTTGCAGTGTATGACCTTGTGCCTCAGGGACTGTTGTACACTGGATGGTTCACCAGGAGCTACTGAAGTTCTAGGATTTCCTGTCATACTAGCAAAAATGCCAATGTTTTTTTGTTTGTTTTTTTTCTCCTTGAATCTTGTGATCACTTCCAGTTCAGTGTTTTCATAGTCCTATCTTCCACCCTGAAAGGAGCACCATAGCTTCATGGTGTGATGTTTGGTGGCTCTTAATAAGCAAAGGGATGTGTGTATATAATGTTGTCTAAATGTATGTCCCTGGTTTTAGGAGTCCCCTTTTTCCAGTGTAGGAATAAATGAAGTCTTTTAAATGATTTTCCTTCTAGCTGTTTTTCCAGTGTCTGGTCTAGGTACAGGTAGGCAGTAAGTGTTGGGGTGGATAGTGGTGTGGCCAAGAATGACTGGCAGTGGGGATAGAGGTTTAGTGTGGCAGGGACTGCTTTGCTGGATAACTGTGTGACCCTTATAGGGTATTTGAAACGTACAGAGCATGTGTCAGTGATGATCACTCTCTTTGAATTTTGTCATATTCAGTTTGTGATGAACAATTAATTTGTAAATAAAGGACTGACTCTGTCATGGAGGTATATGGTATTATTCTGGGCACAGAAATTACTGGTATTCACAAAGTTGCTTGTGAATTTGTATGGTAAAGATTACAACAGGTCTCCAGTCTTTCAGCAGAAAGGAGTGTTTTGTGATTTTGTTCCAGTGCATCATCCATCATCAAGGGATTAATCAGGATTCACGCAAGGTGGTCTGAAAAGACCTTTGATGCTAATCTTAAAAAAATGCAGCAAGGGAACTCTCTCGCCCTGAAAACGTTGCATGTGTTATGATCTTGACTGTTAGTTTGGGAAAACTGTCTTTCCTCTACTTTGAACTCTAGTTAAAGTAGAGAAACAGGTTAATGACAACTTTAATGTCTTTACGTTGGCTGGGCCTTATGGAATGTGTCCTACAGTATTTAGGGAACTGAGACCCTGCAGGGGTGGGAAGAGTTCCAGAATACTGAAGAGTTAAGGAACGCTTCCCCTCACAACATCTAGATAAAGGTAGGACTTAGGTATGTTCAAGGGAAGAGTGTTTGCATCAGGGAGTCTGTCCTGGGTCATGTACTGTTTGGTGTTTTCACTTCTTTGCATTGAAATAAGATTCCTTAGTGAACCAACAGATATGATCTTGACAAATTCAAGAAGTAGTCTGAAAACAATAGCATTGATTTCAGCCATTTCAGTGTAGACAGGTTCAAATTACTGTGTTTAGGAATATTGCCTTATGCAGACAAGTAACAGCTGGCTAGGCAGCAGTTCTGTGGGAGAGTATTTAGGGGTTGTAGTGGTTCCTAAATTATCGTGAGTCAGCAGCATCACCGTCATGAAAATTGACTTGTCATACTGGAACATGTAAAAGAGCATTGTAAATAAGGTAATGAAGCAGTTTTTCCATGCTGCTGAGGAGTGATAGGTCTTTACCTAAAAGTATCTCGTTCAGTTTGCGATACTATCATACTTCAGGAAGGTTATGGCTGGGTAACAAGATCTGTAAAGAAGATAACAAAGTCTGTAAAAGAGAGAACCTCTGAGTGAGGATTGGGAAAAAAAATTGGATCATTTGGCTCTAGAATGGTTTGTACAACTTGTGTTTCATCAGACCCCAGCAGGTGATCTATAAAGCAGCTTAAAAAAGTTACCTGCAGGTGTAACTGGGAGCCAGCTCTGACATCCTGTCCCTGCCTGCAAGCTGTCAGGCTTAGTAGGTGGGTCGCATCAATTTTTTCATCATCAGTGCTTTGAACTTAAGCTTGTAGCTTCAACAGTATAATTGAAGTGGTTGGGGGGAGTGTTTTTCTTGAAAACATGATTGTATTTGATCACGAGATGTGTTATTACATCCTTTTTCTGCTGCCAAGCAGTGCTGGGATACGGGGTGGTCTGTGGGACTTCTCCCCCTGACACTGCCCAAAGAAACCCTGCCACCTGCTAAAGGTTGCCTTTCAGTCAGGGAACACTGAAGTACTGGTCTGGAGAAAAGATGTATTAAAAGGTACATGCAAAGAGAGTTTAGTCAGCTTTCTATATCCATCATGAATAAAACAAGTAGTTATGGGTTGAAATTGCAGCAGAATATATTTAAGTTAGGCATTAGGTGCAGGGACAGGCTTTCAAGCCATAAGAATAACCAAAACAGATTGTAGAGATATGCTGGAGAATGCAAATTTGCTAATCTCTTCTGATTTACAGCTTCCAAAAAAATATTCCAGTGGAGGTATGAATAGCTGCATAATGAGTTCCAGTCTGCTGATAACAAACTTATTTTTCTGATACTTTTGGAGACATTTTAGGATTAATTTTTGGACTCCTGCAGCCTGAAGGTCACTGTACAGATTGGTGGAGGGGGGCATTGCTTAGTTCATTTTCAAAGACATGTGATGGGAGA